TAATCTTTCCTTGAAGTACATGTGTTTTATCTTTTTCTTTTTTTCTTCCTTAATAGTACACGTGGTGCATTATCAAGTGTCACTACTTCATTACCCAACTACATGGCTATTCTCTTAGCATCCCATAAACCATTATTCAACATGCTCCTCCATAACAAGCATATCCTTCACGATTGAACGTGTTCTCCCAATTACTTTTAAAAAAACATTCTTGTTCAATATAAATATAAAAGCCTCAAAGGTTGGAAGGTAATGAGAAATTATCGAAAACCTAGTGGAGATTATCCTCAAAATTCTCTCAAAGCTCTCCCAACTATTCTTTCAACTTAGCCTTTTCCATCCACCATGCTCTACTGCTTTCTCCACCTTTCTTCTTCCTAATTGCTTGTCACCAAAGCACGTATACTTTAAGGACTACTCTAATCTTTCTCTCTATCTCCTCTAATTCATTCCGTTTCACTTATTGCAACACATTCTCTATCCTTACCAAAAGAACTTTCTACAATGTTAAAAAAAATTAAGATAAAATATTTTATAACATTAAAAAATCAAGATAAAATATTTTCTAAGATCCAATCAAATATTTTGAAACTTTATTCTAGAAAACCAAATCAAATATTCAAAATACCAAATCAGTTATGGAATCAAAAACCAATTCTCCTCTCTGTACCATAATAAAAGGAATGAGTCAAGGTATGGTAAAAATACAGCTGACTATCAAGGTACAAAATATCATTTGGGCTTAGCCCATGTATATACTTACATGTAAGGGGAATTCGCATTTCCTCAAGTCTTAGCCCAATATCATGTGCGCACGAGCCCACTTTTTTTTTTTATTACTTACAATAAGCCTATAATAAGTTTGCTTATACAAAAGCACTAACATTTTTTGTACTTAAGCAATGGGGAATAAAAACCTTATGAAATATCCAATAATCCCTCACATATTTCACAAGGTTTCATAATAGAAAGTTTTTGTTGGATATAATCTCACTCAAGTGTAATACATTGAGACTGGTGCTTTTTAAGCTATGAACCAAGCCTATTAAGAATGAAACCTAAATCACAAAATTTAGGTGAAGTTTATAACTTATATGAACCAAAAATTCTTTATGTGAAATATGATTTCCACCAATCACATTACATCTCCACAATTTTTGCTATTTAACACGGTTTTACGTGAATAAGCCATGCGTGTTCTTGGTTATTCATAAGTGCGATAGAAAATTTGTCACTATTCTCATAAAGACGACCCCACTCTATATTTATATAAATGATTCCATCAAATATATGCTGCAATTTAATACACCATCCATAAGAAATATAGAATTCATTAAAAGTTTAACCCAATTTTTCTTATATTGCAATCTTGCACTATTCACACACCATAGAAGGGACAATAATTTTAATAGTGCATCAATTTATTAACAAATAACTTGCTATTACCCATATGAACCTAATTCATAGGATTGCCGCTCACATAGGTTTGGGTTGCCATTATTGTTGATTTTTCTCAATTGACTTAAGTTCTATTCCCCTCGATGTATCATTAATTAATTTTCTTCCTAAGGATTTAGTCAGAGGATTGGTCAAATTTAGCTCTAACTTTATATAATTAATAGACATTATTCTATCTTTAAACAATTGCTTGACTACATCATGTTTCAAACGAATATGTCTATTCTTACCATTGAAATTTTTTTTCTTAGTAATGGTTATTGTTGTTTGGTAAGCACAATGCATAGACACAGAAACTGTTAGTTTTATTCCTAACAAAATATCTGTTAAAAGTTTTCTTAACCACTTAGACTCATTACCAGCTAACTCTAAAGCTATAAATTCTGATTCCATTGTAGATTTAACAATTATTGTTTGTTTGGTTGATTTTTAAGTTATAGCGCAATTACCAAGGGTGAATACATATTCATATGTGGATTTTGTCTCATCTAAATTTGAGATCTTGTAAGATCACTATATCCTTCTAATGCGGTGAAAAATTGATTATATAAAATATTATATTTTTTTATATCTTTCAAATATTTCATTATTCTACTCAAGCAGTCCAATGATCTCAATTAAGACTTTGTGTATATTTACTCAGTTTACACACATCACAAGTTATATCAAGTCGAGTATAATTTATCAAATATATCAAACTCCCAATAACCTAAGCATACTCAGATTAAGCCACACTATCACCTCTATTTTTCTTTAATTAGATATTAGTATCATAAGGAGTATTTACGTGTGATATTAAAATGTCCAAACATTTTAAGTATCCTTTCAACATAATGTTCTTGTGTTAGTATTAGGTCATGTCCACATCTTATAATTTTAACACCCAAAATAACAATGGCTTTCTCTGTCAACCCAAAAGTTGATATCTAATCTAAATACCACATCATTATTAACTCACAACATTATGCCTAAAGGAGTAGTAAAAATTCCAAACTCGTATATTTAATATAGTTAGATAACGTTCAACACTTCTATTGTCATAATCACAATAAACATGACACTCAGACAGAGGTATAGTCCCTTTTATCTAGGATATTAGTTGAATAACACCATATTTTCACTAAAACCAAATGTAGAACGATATCATACATAACCATAATCACATCACATCTATATATATATATATATATATAAATTTATGGATTACGTGACTAGAACTCTAATTCCACCATCCAAGATCCACATATCATTTTTATGTAGCTAGTTTTGCCATTACAATGTTACATCTAATCTTAGGTGACATGTATGGTCACATCTTATTTTCCTTTGACTTCACACATACTCACAATCTTAAAATCAATTAATAATCCATGTTTATAGGGACATATTTATTCTAATTGGTCATACAAGTTCAATAATACACAATTTTTGACCAATTCCACTTACATGTCATACTTTACTAGATATTAGTCACCATTGTCAAACATAACCAAATTATCAATTTCAAGCATGTTCATGATCATATTTCGAACCAAACATCAATATATTTAGCATCATATTTCAATCATAATGACTCACCAAACAAGGCTCATTTTTTTTAAATCGATGCTTTTTCCCATGCAATTACATACTAGCTTGGTATTTAAGTATATAGAAATGATAGGGCATAACTTTTGGAACATATTTTTAATCCATACACAATCCACACATAAAGAATACAAATATTCACATATGGACCAGAATATCACATTTAACAATTTCACATTTCCAAAAATCACATTTCATGCATTTCAATACTAAAATGGTTTGGATGCAACCCACTCACCAAACTACAGATCCAACCAACCAAGCTATGGTGCCAATTGGGTTATTATTATTATTATTGTACCTCTGTTAATGGTACTGGATTCTATCTTGCATTAGATTAGCCATATTTACAACGATGGTAGTGGTTATTGGGTAAAACCATTGACGATGGTTGTGGAAGTAGCGACAAAGGTAGCAACATTATCTGCATGAGAATCCATTATCCTTAAGATTGTTGGCAAAAATTCAAAGTAGATATCAACTCGAACTAGTTTGAGGTGTGATACACTATCTTAAAGATAATTTTCACCCTTTCGAAGTATGACACTTGATGCAAAAGGACTGTAGTAGTTATCTCCAAGATTCAATAGACTTTTTTTGATTAATTTGCACATATTATTAGGGATACAAGAATAGTTAAAAATTCTAAATAAGAAAGAACTCAGAAAAGTAAAGTCTTTAAAGATAATTTTCATAGTATGAAACACGGTGCAAGAGGACTATAGTGGTTTTCTCTTAGGATTCAATAGACTCTTCTTAATTAGTTTACATAAACTATCAGGGATACAAGAACAGTAGAAAATTCTAAAAAAGAAAGAACTTAGAAAAGTAGGGAAGAGAAAGAGAGCAAAGAAGAACAAGAGAGAATAGTTGGTGCATTGAGAATGAAATGAAGGCTGGTATATATTTTATAACGTTAAACAATCAAGATAAAATCTTTTATAAGACCTAATCAAATATTCGACAATGTTGAAACATTATTTTGAAAGACCAAATCAAATATTCAGAATACCAAATCAGATAGGATTTAACAAACTCTTCTTGATTAGTTTACTCAAATTATTAAGAATATAGGAACAACAAGAAATTATAACTAAGAAAAAACCTAGTAAAAGCAAAGAAGAGAAAGAGAAGAAAGCAGAAAAGAGGAAGAGAGAATAGTTGGTGCATTAAGAATGAAGTGAAGGCCAGTATATATTTTTTAACGTTAAACAATCAAGATAAACTATTTTATAAAACCAAATCAAATATCCTTAAACGTTGAAATGTTATTCTAGAAGACCAAATTAAATATTCAGAATACCAAATGAAACAGGATTCAACAGGTTTTTCTGATTAGTTTACATAAACTATCAAAAATACAAGAACCACAGAAAATTCTAAATAAGAAAAAACTCAGCAAAAGCAAAAAAAAAAAAAAAGAGAAGGAAAAACAAAAAAGAGGAAAAAAGAATTGTTGGTGCATTGAGAAAGAAGTGAAAGGTTGGCATATATTTAATGACGTTAAAGAATCAAGATAAAATATTTTATAAAACTAAATCAAATATTCTAAAGCATCAAAACGTTACTTTGGGATCAAATCAAATATTCAAAATACAAAATCAGTTATAGAATCAAAAACTAATTCTCCCTAAGGTACAAATTATCACTTAGGCTTAACCCACATGTATATTTGTATGTAATCTTATGTGCGTATGAACTTAACTTTCTTTTCTTACTTACAACAAGCTTATAATAAGTTTACTTATATAAAGTTCTAACATTTTGTGCACCTAAATAATGTAAAATAAAAATGTTATGAAATATCCAACGAATTGATCATGATAAAGTAATATAATGGTTCTATCGCGTACCTTGTGTTTGGAGATTTATGATTCTTTTGTTTTATTGCAATGAACGTGAAGGACTTAGATTCATAACAATGGACAAAAATTTTTGATATTGCAAAATGGAGAAAAGATGGAAAAGCAAAGCTATAGTCTATTATATTTTTAAACATTTATTTCATCTAGCAATTAAACAAGCCTAATACCATAGGACCCCATACAATAATGATGCTATCCCGATATAATCATGTCAAGCATTCCCGATACAAACACAATAGTAAGGACCACTCGTCTAGAAGGCGAAATCAAAGAAATAAACTGCAACGAGACCCAATGCCAAGGAAAGCTTGGAGGAGATGAGAGACGAAGCACTGCTCTGAGCGGGTCCAGGTGCCAACATTTCTGAAGGTGGGTTTGCAGGCGTTGGACCAAAAAGAGAAGGGCTCGGACTTGCACTTGGGCCTACGGACAATGCTGTGACCAATACAGCAACTTTCTGGCCGGCTTGGCAGTGGCCAGGGACACCGCAAAGGAAATAATAGTGGCCGGCCCTTTTGAGGGTTATGGAATCAGAACCGGAGGTGTAGGTGGCTATGGCAGATGTTCCGTTGCAGGACTGGAAGTCGTTGTGGGTCACTTGCTTCACGTTGTGGATTTCTTTGTGGTACGTGAAAACTGCACGGAAAAAGGGCAGTCAAATAAAATATTAGGTGGTAATTTAAAAAAATTCTAAACGTCTTTACAAAGCTACAAGTCAAAAGGATTTAGATTTTCAAAAGTGGTGTCAAAAGCTTAAAACTTTTTTAAATAGTAATAACTTATAACCTATCTCTTGCTTTTTACAGTTGTCTAGCAGCTCTGGGGAAAAAATCTTTCCTCTTTCCTTTTTCACACTTCTTTTTGACCATCCGAAAGGAAGAGCATACCGACCACCTTTTATTAGGTTCTGTTTCTACATGAAAATTAAGAAAAATTTCTCTCACTAAGAAAAATATTTATAATTAAAATAATAAATAGTAATTTTTTTAAAAAAATTCATTTCAAAATTTATTGAAAGAGTACTTCAATCAAATTTAATATAATTTTATTTAAAAGATTGTTGTATACTATTATTAATAGAATTATATTATTGTTAGTCAAGACTTAAGTCTTATAAGATAAAAATCTGTTAAAAATTATTACTCATTTCTCATTAATATAGGTTAAATTATTAGAATTAAATGAAATATAATTTTACATAACAAATTATCAAATTTAATAATTAATAATTTAATAAATTTCTATTTATTGATAAAAATTAAATATAAACATTCACAAACTATATAAAATTAAATATAAAATACATAATCAAACAATATATCTACAAAATAAATCTAAAAAAAACACTTATAATTTTAAAATATTATTTGACATGTAAAATTATTTTTTATTAATTAAATTATAATTATGAATCTAAACTATCAAATTAATAAAAAAATTTAAAAATAATATATTTAAAAACCTCATTTAAGTAAAAAATTACTTACAATTAAAATTTAGATGAGTTAATTTTGAGGGAATGAAAAAACACAGTAAAAATCCAAAAGGATAAGACTTAAATTTTTAGATAAGAGTTATAAAAAGAAATTTTTTTATTTTTTATATAATATTTAAATATTAATATAAAATTACTTTTTAATAAATTTATTTTTACTTGAAATCTTTAATTTTATTTTTTATAAAATTATAAAAAAATTAATAAATTTATTAATATATTAACTACGTAAATTCCTAAATTAGCGATACATCAAGTAAATAATTTTGGTAAGTGAGTGGTGTCATGCTCTGAGGTGGGTCCGCCCTTGGATGTGCATTAGAATGTGGTTGCAAAAGTCTTTAATGAAGTGATGGGAGCAGCTAACAAAACCAAAGGACGCGAAAAACCAAGATATATCATCGTGCAGTAATATTACACACAAGACGTATATTTACACTGTGCAACAGAATAGAACAAACTAGAAGAAAGAAAAGAAACAGAGGAAGATTGGTGAGAAAACATACGAAGAGAGTCGCCAACATGGAAGCTCTTGGTAGAAGCCCACTTGCCGTAGTCGAAATTTCCCAAGGTAGTCCAACCAGTAGAGTCACCGACCTTGTAAACGGCACCAAGAGAGACTCCTAAGAAAGCCATCATAAAAAAGAAAGCCACGGTTCCCTTAGCGGAGGACATCCTCGCAAACCACGACTATCAACAAACAATTAATTGAAGATCAAGAAAGCAACGGAGCGAGCAACAGTGCAAAACAAAGAGAAGCTTTGGCAGTGAGTTAATTTGTGAAGAACCACCGGGCTCGGCTCTATATAAAACGAGTTTCTTCCCTGTACTCCTTCCTAGCATGAAAAGATTTCCTTTGCCCACAAGGATGACCAATAATTGAAAAAAATAAAATACTAGTACTGCTTTTAAGGAAAGGCAAAAAGTTTGTGAACATTCTTTGTGTTAAATCTGAGACGTACATGTGTGAGTTTTACTGAATCTAAACCCTCGGATTCTAACGGGAATATATAAGCCATTATGAAAGCGATCAATTGTCCTCTTAATTCTTTTTCGATAAGGAAATGGTAAAGCTTCTGCGGGATAAATTTGAATGCCTTTCAAGTGGGACATGAGATTAATATGAACTTGGGGGGTGTGGCCCAAGAGGCGTGACCCGGATCAGTGGAGCTAATTAATTACACCAACTCAATCAATGACTCCGGGTCCACTGCCAAACGACGAGTTCACAACTAGCTTTCGTGGCTGTAGATTTCAATCCGGACCTGGGGCCATGCGTTGTAAATTTTTATGGGGACAAAAATTAGAGGCTTGGCATCATTTGCCGCGGCGCAGATTTTCATGGCATGGATTTTGCTTGCCTACTTTGGGAGTCGGGGATCGAGGAAATGGCGGAGGACAGCTGTCCTTATTGAGTAAATGACTTAATTGCAATGGGTCGATCGGCGATTGACAAAGCTGCTCCAGTCCTAACTCCACAGAGATAGCCAGATAGATAGGCATTATACTTCGTACATACGCTTCGATCAATTTCCCTGTTTAAGGTATGCAATGTCACATACGTATTATTGTCTTTTAATCCTCTGGCACATACGTATTATTTTCTTTTGTTTTTCATTTTGTCCCGACAATGTAAATAAGAGAGTTTTCCTGTCTTCCTCATTCCTCGGTCCTCACCTTTCATTTTCTTTACTTTGCTAGTCTCCGAACACGATGCCAATACGTATTTGTTTTCATTTTTATGCCTAAAAGGCAACACAATCTTGCCTTCTAAATGAAAAATGTTTCCCAATAAGTGTCCAGAATCCAACTTGTTTCTCTAATTTCATTAGTAAACACAAGAAAATACATAAGAAGTTGATGCGTTTGTCTAATCATAACCTTTTTCTAGACGGTTGTACATTTTACCCATACTCTCGTTCAGATGCATAAAATTACGTTCTTCATACACAGAACTACTATCAATCATATGATTATGGACATATTCATTACAACTATTGCAAAAGTTATAAGCGACATGTTAATTTCGACACCCAAAATCATGCTCTCCTATGCTTTATATATATATATATATATATGGCAATGGCATGGGTGCCGATATTAATCACAGCAAAAAAGGAAATAAAAATCATTCCTCACCAATCATCATCTTTGCTTTACTAGAATTAAAGATGGTGGAGAGATCCCATACCATCTAATTGCAAGGATTATATATATATATATATATATATATATTGAATATGCGTGAATTTATATTATTTATTTTTATATTTTATTAAAATCATGTTAAGTTAATTTGGTTTAAGTAATGAGATGATATTATAGTTTATACTATAATCTAATAAAATGGACTAGATTTCAATAATTTATACGGACTTAATAATGTAGATCTATATAGAAAACTTTAAATAGAATGATAGGCAGGACTAGGAATCACTATACAAAGGAAGATCAATGTCTCATTTTATATTAAGTTTCTCACTCATCAAGTAGTTGTAATAATGAAAAAGGAAAATCTTATCAATGATTACATTATTTTCACTATCAAAAGCATAGAATGAAAGATCAAGTATGTTTTTATATGTTCTAAAATATTTTTATGGTAGATCTTGGATGAAAAACAATTTTATATACATAAAGGTTTTAATTGGTATAAGAACAACTATAGTTTGAATTTATAATCTTAAAGAACTATAAATTGCTAGTATATATTGATTACATGAATTATTTTTAATTGCATGTTAAGTCTTGGTTAATTTTTTGAATTTGTGTAACCATACCATTCAAGTTAATAATTTGCACACATTAAATCCTAAACATACTTAATTATAATATATTGTTGATAATATGATAATTTTGATCAAATTATATATTTGTAATTAGTTGAAATTATGTTTGAAAAATTAGATTTTGTTAAGAGTCGCAGGGTTTAAGGTTTTCATGTCAAGAATACTATAATTTTATTTAATGTTTGTAAAATTATCTTGAGATTATTGTTTAAAATTCGACAATTGCATCAAAAATAAACTATTGCAATTTTAAGGTTCATACCCTCGAATTTGACTTTAAATTTGATTTGAAATTACCATAATTTATGTATTTTAATTCTAATTAACATAGTGGGATAGGCTAATTTGATTTGAGATAGATTATACGTTGCCAAGAGGTTAAAATAATCTATAAAAGCTCGAATTTTGCTTCAATAGCTAATAGAGTCTTGGGTTAAGAATGAGTTTTGTAATCCAATTCTTTGTATTAATTAATCTTGATTGGTTTTGTTTAGTGGATTTTGGTGTATGGGTTTCAAAATAATGTTGATCGAGTTTTCAATGAGTTTTATTGGAATATAATTGACCAAAAATCGACAATTATAGAGAAACTTTGAAATAAATCTGAACGGGTTTAACCCGACCCAGCTGGAGCTTGAAGAAAAAGCCCACACGCACGACTGGCGCCTATGGGCGCGTGTGTTAGCACATGCTAAGTTTTAAAATGTTTCTTGGGCAGGTTAGTCCCATTCTCTTTGTGCTATTTGTTGATGATATTTTTTGGATTATTTATGCACATTTAAATTTTATTTATTTTTTTTATGTGTAATTAATTAATTATTTTAAATATTTTGATAAGATATTTCAGAAATGCGTTTAATAAAAAATAATATGCATGTTTTTTAGTTTAATGGTATATTATCCCTAAATATTTGTATATTTTATATATTGTGAGATAAAGTACAAAATTGATAATCAAAATCTGATAATTTTAAAGTGATATTTTTAAATGCAACAAATTTATTTGATGATGACTAGATATCTCATAAATTATGCGACATAGATGAATATAATTTTAAGAAATGATATTCCATGCTCATTAAGTTTCTAAAAAAATTCATGCTCATTAAGTTACTAAAAAAAACATACCATAAAATTTGTGTGGGTAATATAAGAAAAGTGTCTCGTTATGAGAAAATTTTTATTATACTCATTAAGTTACTAAAAAAATTCATACCATAAAATTTGTGTGGATTATGAGAGAATTTTTATTATGCTAGTTAATTGTTGTCACCAAAATGACCAATAGACTAGTATTGCAAAATTATCATTTTAATATGTTTTAAGAATGTCAATACAAGTTGTTTATCAACACTATAGGGAAATTCTATCCATGTCAGAAGATGAGAGATGAAGTTGTGTGGAAGAAAAATGTTAATGATGTGTATACAACTAAGTCGTTTTGTCAAATGCTGAGCAATAACAGAGAGACTAATGAAAGGGTGTGGAAATAGGTGTGAGGGGACATCGCTCCCCACAAAACTAAAGCCCTTGTATGGTAATTGATCCATGGGAAAGCTGCTATAAAAGGAGAGTTTATGAAAAGAGGTTTGCTAGGGGTGGGGGATGTTATGTGTCCAATGTGCAAAAACTTAGCTGAGACTGGGGAACATTTGTTCCTTGAATGCATGGAGGTATGGAGATTATGGAGAGCATGGTGTCAATAATGGGAAGTTACTAGGGTGATGCCACAAAAATTTAAAGACTTAATGATTATATGGAACTCAACTGAGGTGGGGAGAGATGAAAATAAAGTGTGAAAAATTGCGATCTTTGCAATGGTGTGGATCATCTAGAATAGTAGGAATGAGGTGGTTTTTCTAGATAAGAAATAGGATACTGAAGAGATTTAAGAAATTATTAAGCTTAAGGTGGCCATGTGGGCTTGTGCAAGATGGCCAAATGATTATGAGTTTGTGTTGGACATCTATCGACAATTGAATGGGACCTTTAATTGTAAAACGAAGAAGCAGCAAAGAACTAACACTTCATGGGAAAGTCTAGAAATTGGAGTGGTTAAATTCAATGTGGATGGGGCTACAAATGAGAGTCTGGAAGCGGCCGGCATAGGTGGTTTGCTGAGAAATGAATGTGGATAGGGCTGCAAATGGGAGTCCAAGGGAGGCCAGCATAGGTGGTTTGCTGAGAAATGAAAAAAGGCGAGACATTAATTAGATTTTCTAAAAGCATTGGCATTAGTAATTCTAGCTTGGTTGAAATTTTAGCATTTAGGGAAGCTTTTGTGTTATTTTTTCGGATCTAAATGGGTAGATAAGTATAGTCTTATTATTAAAAGTGATTCAACTAATGGAGATAAATGGGTGAACGAACCAAATTTTGCTTTATGAAAATTTAAGAAGTGGATGCTTCAAATTGAGGTGTTTAAAAGAAAAATGAATGATTGGAAAATTAAACACATATTTAGGGAAAGAAACAATGATGCTGATACTTTGGCTAAAGAGGGTGTGAATAGGAAAGTTGATTTAGTGAAGATCAATAATGATGTAAATGTGTAGAGTTGCTGGAGGCAAATACAAAATGTTCTTGAATTTTGGATGGCAGATTGGTTCCAAGACCTCCATGTTGTGCATTTCCTTCGACTTTTTCTGTGATTTTTCTGGGCCATTACCCCGTATTGGCTTTTGTATAGATTGAGATTTTGCAGTTCTCTTGTTGTTATGAGATGTGGACAGAAATGTTATCTTGATCTCACAAGTAATCAGATGAAATTGGGACGAGTTTTTTCTCTAAAGTGATAAGGATAGAACTTGACTCCTTTTTCTACCTTGTTTTTGTGGGGTAGATTTTTGTAAAGTTCTCTTTTGAATACATCTCCTACTTTTCAAAAAAAAAATGTTTTAAGAAGGTCTCAATTTTGGTGAGCATTATTCATCTAAATATAATGTTTGTGTATTAAAATTAGAGAATAGTACATAAGATCATGTGCTTTGGAATTGACTACCTTTAGTAGTTTAATAGCAAGTTACAAAAGTTTTGTTAAATTCTCATGAGCATTTTTATGTGAAAGGTTCATTAGTTGCATGCCGACTATACAACCTCAAGGTATTTACGTGATAATGTGTTTGAGCTTTTTAAGTGTTTACATAATAATTTGTTTGAACTCTCTTATTATAATAATTATATTTATTTATGATTTTGATATATATTTTTATCTTATTAATTAAGTTGTATTATTTTAAATTTTAAGTAATATTTTTTGTTAATAATAATATGATTAGGTTATACCTGAGCATTTAGCTTATTAGTTGATGCATGATCTCTCTATTTAAAAAGTAAAATTCGAATATCTTTTTTTTAATTATAAAAAATATATAATCAATTAAAAATTCTAATTAGATCAAATTTTAAGAATTAGAAAAGAGATATGAAATTTACAATTCAGATAATAAACATGTACGTGACTATTTGGTAGTGTATCCCTTGAGCAAACATATGACTTCCTCAATTTTTTGTACGGAAGAGTCCACTTAAGCACTGGAAGGCCTTAAAAATTAGTTTGGTAATAAATAAACGCCACACGGTGCAGAATAAACGTAGACGTGTAACCAAACAAAACCAACCCGAAGCGCCAATAACGAAAGTTCTTATCCACAGCCTCACACTCCCTCCTTTCTTACTTCTTAGCTCCTTGAAAGCAAAGACCAAGCTCTAGACTTGAAGCACCAACAAAATTCACAACCATTTCTGCTATCAAATGGCCGCGCCCTTTTCTTCAACCAGTACAGTTGGGTCTATTTTCAGGCCCAATCCAAATCCTCCCAAATCCCTCCTCTCGCCTTCAGGTTCTGTCTTCTTCCTTCTTCCAATGCATCTTTTTATTGTTTTCTTTAGATAGCATTGTCCTAAGCTTTCCACTTACAGATTCTTTCCAGAAGGGATTCCATTGCGTGAAGTGCCGTTCCACTAATGTTAATGTGTACTCATGGAGCTCGGCTGCGAACTATGCCAGGCTTCGTCACGGCGCCTCTAAATTATCCGGCAAACCCATCGTTGTTAAACATTTGCTACGTAAGAGGCAAGTTGGTTCTTGAATATAGTTCTGTATGTGGTTGAGGAAATGCTACAACGAAGTTCGAGGATATCATTGCTGTGGCTTCTTTTCTCTCTCTTTAATTTTTCATGTTTATTGTTTTGGACTGTGTAGAGCTGGAGTTTTGAGGTGTGCAACTATTGAAGAAATCGAAGCGGAGAAATCTTCCATTGAGAAAGATGCTGTGAGTGTTTTGCTCTTTTTATAAACTTAATTAAGGGAAGGGAACTTTTTATACAAGGCAACGATTGTCATTATTATCATTATTTTCTTTTCTATCAGAAGGCGAGAATGGAGAAGACAATCGAGACAGTTCGAACGAATTTCAATTCCATAAGGACAGGGAGGGCGAACCCGGCAATACTTGACAAAGTTGAGGTATTAATTTTCGTACAAGGTCGCGTGGTTTATTTGGGATCATGGGATATTAGGTGAACAAGCTTTTTGAGAAAATGGTTTGCGAAAGCCATGGTGAGGACACATTATAAAATATCTCCAAAATTATTTATTCTAAGATTGAATTCTCGACATTCGATTTGAGGCTAGTCATGAAAGGATAGAATTTCTTGCTTATTATTCAACAGTTTTAATCTATAGCTGATGATGGCAGTCCTTCCTCTTATCATCCTATAGTGCAGTAAAAAGTTAAGACACTGTAGCAAATCGAACAAATTGAACAACTATTAATGTCTTTCAGATAAGAATTTGATATGTTATGTTGATGTCTTTTGGCTTACCAAAGGCTTAGAAAGATTTAATGGAGTGCTGTTTTAGGTGGAATATTATGGAACTCCAGTCAGCTTAAAGAGTATTGCGCAAATAAGTACTCCTGATTCAAGTTCTCTCTTGGTTCAGCCCTATGACAAATCCAGGTATAGTATAAACCGGAGGTGATAAACATTAGTTCAGATTTGTCTGCTCATGTATGTAGTTTGCAGAATCATCTTCTGCAGTATATATTGTATACATTTAAGAATTAAGGACTTTCAGAACTTGCTGGTTTTGTAAAGGTATAGCAAATAAAAGGCAAAGCAATGCACACAATGAATCTTTATTCATATGTTGACTATCTTTTCTAAGGGAGATAAAGTTGTTTGATTTATATTGTTCTATTGAAAATTGATATCCTGTATTTGCAAGAGTGCCCCATGAAAGCATTTATATGGTTTCTCTCAGTGACATATGCTATCTTTTGACATGTAACATTTTTCAGCTTAAAGGCTATAGAGAAAGCTATAGTCAACTCTGATCTTGGTATGACTCCAAACAATGATGGTGAAGTCATTCGCTTGTCTCTCCCTCAACTGACAACTGAAAGAAGAAAGGTATCTTTCCTTTTTCTTGATCTTTTGGCATGTGGAGGACTAAAAAAATCTTTTTATAGTATCCCCTGAATTCAAATTATTTATTTTGATGTATGCCATATTTAAAAAATTATAGTTTGCCTTTAAAATATTATTTTTTCCTTAATTGTACAATGATGCATCCTAAAACTTTACCTTTTGAAGATCTTATGTTTTTGCTGTTGTTTTCGTGAAAATTTTCCATACTATGTATGTATTGATCTCTCTCTGTCTATCTATCTCACATGATCACTCTTCTATATTTTCTAATTCACGCCTTTGAATCATAGTGTGGGGAGTTAACATGAGCATTGTATAATTGCTTACAACTAAATCATTATTTGATTTCTGCTTTACCCATGGCCATGGGTAATTCTTTTTTATTTTGTGAAGCATGCATTATTCTAGTTATTAGGCTTGGCTGTAGAACAAGCTCATCTTTTTGTGGACACTTTAGAGGATGTGGATGCAGCTGCACTCTTGATGCACTATCACAAGTGCAAATACAGTGAAAATTATATGTGTTCTTGGAGCTACTTTGAACAGAATTTGGAAATATTGTTATTAGCACAGTGGAAAATTATGTTGGATATTACTAAGAGAAGTGGTGGCACGACACTCTCTTGCTAGTAGATAAAATCACAGCATTAGTGGTAGAATTTATTTGCTAATGTTTTGGGATATTGTATTTTCTTGAGATGTGCTTAGCAAGGTGTCTTGAACATGCTTCTGGAGAGTTTGATTTTTGATTTCTCTATATTTTACATGGTTGCAGGAATTGTCAAAAGTTGTGGCCAAACAAGCTGAAGAAGGGAAGGTACTTAAAACTTTTGTGATTTTGGTTTGAACTTCAGCCACTACACTTCATGCTTAATTTTGTCATTACGCACACTCTCTCTCTCAAAAAAAAAAAGATTTTTGATATTTAAGCTCAAGATACGTGTAACCAGCATAATCCTAAAAACCCAAAAAGAGTATATTTCTTTTTTTTCTTGGATAAGTAAAGATTTTATTTATCCTAAAAAAGCAGGTTAATGTCCTGCTAGAAAAAGCAAATGACGAAAGCAACAATCAGATGGAGTCTAAATATTCAACTTATGATTGGGTTGTCTTGGTCAAAAACCTTTAAATATGGTTCAGGGGAAAAAAACCTTAAGTGCTTATAATTATTTCCAAGCACATGGAAGCATTACAGGAGTATCTAAGCACATGCATTCCACATTCATTTGCTGGGTAATTTGGTTAATGGTGGATTGTATACTCTATTATGACTGGTTTACTTGAATCATCATTTTGTTGATCAACTGTTTGTAGGTGGCAGTGAGGAATATAAGAAGAGATGCCCTTAAAGCCTATGAAAAGCTTGAGAAGGTTTGTATCTTTATAGCCATTCCACCCTCTCACTTTTGGTTTATGTTTCTTTTCTTCCTTTTCCCTTGTTCATGTTTTCTTGTTACTTCTTTTGTTGCATGGTTTTTTCAATTTTATTCAGGAGAAAAAGTTGTCTGAAGACAATGTGAAGGACTTATCAAGTGACTTGCAGGTAACTTGAAATTAACCTCGCTACCTTCATTTTCGTCATCATCATCATCATCATCTTCTCTCTCTCTCTCTTTTACGAAATCAAAGGAAGAAGTGCTTTTGTCACAATAAGCTAGAACATAGTATGCAATTGCTTGTTGGTCATGAAACCAATTAGCACTAAATGGCTTGGATGATAGTGCTGAGGTGATATATAATGTATGGGGTACTTTCAGTACTTAGGTTTTATAATTTCATCTAAAGACCTGATCAAAGTGTTCTAGTTTTATAGAATTTTGGTTACAACCGCTGATTTAACCAAATTCTTCTTTCCCTGATGTTTGCAATAGCTTATTTGACAGTGGTGCTTAACTTCCCAAATGGAGAAAGTGTACCGTGGACCAAACTCCCTATTGACAGTAACTCTGAATCCCTAATGACTCACTGTTTTGGAGGCACACTTAAAATGTAGACTAGATAGGCTTCTTATTTTCTTTAATTTCTTCTCTGTCCATAACTTTATATGTACTATGTATGTGTTTGTGCATTGGTGTGTACGCTCTTATGCACGTACATGTCTGTTCTGATAGATCAGTCAATTTGGTGGGCTGCACATTCCCCCTAGTACTCAAGTTTGTGAAATCTTTTCCTTCATGCAGAAACTCACAGATGAGTATATGAAGAAGATTGATAGCATCTTCAAGCAGAAAGAGAAGGTATGCTTGTCAAAAACAAGTTCATTTTTTTCTCTTTGCTCGATGAAATAAGGCCATGTTTTCGCCTCACATTTTGACCTAATATATTGATGTTTTGCACATGTTCATAATTCTTTTGCTGCTGTCTTTCAGGAGTTGCTGACGGTCTAGGGATTGTTTGTAAAAAGATGTGAATTGTTGAGCTTCGTTGCTATCGAGACAAGAAAATTAGATGTCTTTGTTCTACTCACTTTGGTTGGGGGGTGGAAACTTGTGGTGCATAGCGTCTATAATTCTACCTAGAAAAGAGCATTTTGAAAATTCTCGTGTTGTGAATAGGTATCTTGGTTTGTAGTGAAATGGAAAAATTCAATACCCATGACCTTCGTTTAAAAGTTGTGTGTATAGTAAGCTTTTGAGGGCTTTGGACATAAATAACTTGTTATTAAGATTGCAAGCCGCCCTGTACGGTTTCCAAGTAACTTGGTCGTTGGAGACTTTAAAGTCATCTGATGTGAGAGTTCTTTTGTGTGTATCCGGCCACGTTACGGGGCCAAGTTTGACACACGTGTTACAATTTTTTTACTAAATAATACATATTAGTTTAAAAATATCATATTTTTATTTTTAATTAAAGATTAATAATATTTTAAAAATTCTAAAAAAGCAATTTTAGTATTTTGCTTTTTTAGAATTTTTTTATTAGAAGTAATTTTTTTGAAGTAATGTATGTTCCTTGATTGAAAAAAAAAATCAAGTTAACAAGTCATTTTTTTAACAAAAAAATCATAAAGTCAAATTTCATTTTATAAATTTAATCCATTATTTACTATTATTTAAAACGATTTTAATAAAAGTATAAAAATGAAATTGGATCGAATTGTAAAAACAATAAAACTGCAAAATTCGAATAGTTAAAAAAGGATGAAATTCAAACTTGTAACATTCCTCTATTACGTTCCTAGTAGGATTGCTAGAACCTGTTGGGCCTTTCAGATTTTAAAGCTAACTAGCTACAAAGAGTAAGAAAATAGGCCCAAGTTTGACAATGGTGTACAGTTGAAAAATGCTGGTGCTGATGCAGAAATTTTTACTCAGTAAAGCTAGAGTCGTGAATCAATGCCTTCAATCCTACTACTATTTACCAATGCATATGCATATGCATGTGCGTATTTTGTAGTTGTGGAGCAGGTGATATTTGGAAAAGGTGTTTTTCTGCACCGTTCAAAAAGTGAGTTTGATCTATGGATCTATGTTTCTGGCTTTGAACGACTTATGTTCAACAATTGCTTTATTAATTGCACCCAGTATCTGTCTCCCATCGTGATGCATCAACCACATACATGCAATCCATGCATCAAATTCTCTTACCAGCCCTTGAGAGCTCTATCAACAGCACAAGCTCTGCCAAGAAGCTACTACAAGGACTTGTTTCATCCATCACCCAATTCTGTCCGGGTTGCAACGTAGACCCCTGAAGCCGAATCGGCTGAAACAATTGGCTCGTGAGCATCTCACCAGGGGGTCCAGGATGTGTAGATTGCATCATACGCCAATATGAATCACTACAAATTTCTTAACTTTTTCCATGTTCGTCCAATCCAAGTTAAAGCTACGTCTTACAAAAGACAATTTCTTAGAAACTTCCAAGAAGAGATAAAAACACTGTCTGGACGATCTATCTCTGGACCACTAGCACAGGTTCCTTTTAATCCAAGATAGTTTCTTTTTTATATATATATATATATATATATATATATATTGTTTTCTCTCAGGCCTTTATTATTATTTTTATTCAAGTCATGGGCCAGCTAGACTGCATCCGGTTAAAGAAGATAAGCAGCTTTTGTTTACTTTAAGTTGAGCAAATCATATGCCCCCTCTCCCACATTTGTTTTAAATAAAACAATAAAAAGAATAAAAAAAGAAGACCAATTTCTATAGCGTCCCAGTTGTATCCAAAAGGAGTCATCGTTAGTGCCATCATCACCATCACCCTTTGTCCCCGTTGCTTTCCAGTGATGTTATATACTAGTCGACTTCAATCTTGTGAATAAGCTTTCGAGACCCAACTCTAGATTAATACTTGAAACTTGTTTGAGAGACAGCTCTGTGGCCCCAGCTTCAACGGTTTGCACCTACCCTATTAGGCAAAAAATCGTTAAGGACTTAGCCAATGTTTCATTGCTATGCCACAACCTAAAAAGCATAAACTAAAGTCGCCCAAGCATTTTTGTTTGTTTGAAAAGAGCGGTTACCTAATTAGAATTCTTCTTCTACACCCAAAAAACTTGCATTTGGTTTTTAGTCTAGCAGTGCAAATTTAGTGGTAATGCTCGATGTGGAGGATGTTTCTTTGAAGCATCAATTCTTTTTGCTAATTGGTAATGTGAAGAAATGAAAGGCTTTGATGATTTTCCTGTCATGGCAATTTAATGAATAGTTTTAGTAAATGGGAGAATTACTGGGAAAAAACATGGGTCATTGGGCCCTTTGCTGGAATCAAAATTTTGAACCTCAAAAAGGGTGGAGAAAAGAAGCACAGAAAAAGACATTGTATTCCACTCTTTGCTAAATCATTTGGTCAGAAAAGGGTACACATCAAAGAGAAACGTCATTTCCCTTCCTACTTCAACATTATAAGCTCTTCAACCTTTTTCTCCTATGACCAAATTTTTTTCTTCAAAAAAATGCTTTTATAAATTCTTATACTATATATATATATAATGTATAATGTATAATTAAAAGTCCAAAACAATTCATGGAGTCTCCTCCAACTCTAATCCAACTAAAACTTCAAAAAAATATATATAATAATTAAAGCAAAGACTTTGAATAATTTAATGAAGCTTGACCATGTTAATTAATGTTTACAAATAGCAAGAAGACTAGCTTCGTACCTTCCCGAAACCTCTCTCGAATGCCGCTCCATCGCGGAACAACAAAACAAAAACAAAAACAAAAACAAATAAAACCAAAAAAATGCTTACCACATTGACAAATCCGTCAAGACAAAAATATGTTTTTCTACTTTTGTCTGTTGATCCCCACTTGGATCCAAGATCATTTTTCTTATAATTAATTTGATAATCTTCATTACATTTCATTTCATTATAATATATGTCACTGGAATTGTTTGTTTAGTCGGATCAAAGAACTCGTCTCAATGAACCAATATATTATATTGTTTTATTCGTTGTGCATGTCCATAAAATATAACAAAAGGCAAGCTTAAGTCAAATTACAATAAAGAGTTTTCACTGGATTAAGGATCAAATTTGGGTATAATTTATTGTAATGAAAGCTGAAGTGCGCGTGTAATCACGTGGAGGACTTGTGGTTAACCCCAAAACCAATCATCAAAGTTGATGATGAGGTTGTGCATAACCTTTTGTTTTATTTTAATGGGGAATTTTTTAAGGTGTTTGCTTGTCAAATATTTTATATTAATTAATTTTGAATATGGGCAAAGTGGAAAGAAGATGGAATCCTTTCCCATAGGGTTTAATTTTATAATCTATATAAAATTTACAAACACAAAGTATTGAAAAGCCAAAGAAGCATGCTTTTACTACTTTTTTTTTTCTTTAATAATAATAATAATAATAGAAAAAAAAGGGGGACTAGTTTTTAAACTTTAAATAAGGTACCGTGCGAAGCCATCATCATAGAATAAAGGATTCTGGTGTTCTTTGGATTTCTTTATAGTAAACTAAGGGGTTTGCTTTGTTATCGTATGTTTATTGGCATAAAATATTATCCCCACCACCCCTTTTTAGTGGCCTAAAAGATGAGGGAATATTATGGAGAGGGTTGATTATTTTGAAAGCAATCAGGTCCGAATCAAAGGTATATTTGCAAACCATGGAGTATGGAGCTAAAATGTTTTACATCCTTAATATTCCTCAACTCCAAGGCATGTCTGCCATTCATTGCATGCCTTAGCTATATAAGGAAAAGGGTGATTGTTTGAATATTATCTTTATCAAAATTGAAAGATTAACAGGTAGGGTTTAGTTATAATTTAGTAATTTATAATTTTGTATTTTATTTGTTAATATTCCATTAGTTGATAAGTGTTGTATAGAATAATTTAAACAGCTACCACAATTGACTATGTTGAACATTCTTAAAATAATTTTGTGCCGAACTGTGTTAATTTCCACTCATTTAACAAGAAAAATGCCAGTATATTCTGAAAAATAAAATTACTTAAATGGTAATTTTTAATAAGTGGAGCGGGTGTGGCAATAACGAGATCCGAGGCCACGAGCAGTTAGAACTAAAGAACAACAACCCCCACTGTCGTGATTGCTGCCTTGGATCGTGGCCTATTTCTTCCACGTGTAATTTTTCAGTCCCTCTCTCCCACTCGCTTACGTACACTCAACCCTTTTATACTCGCCATGTTAGAAGCACACTTCTTGCTTGCCAACCAATTCTGCCTATCACAACGCGAGTACCCAGTTAATATACCTGTCTTTTGAAACAAAGAAAATTGTCCTCTGCCCCTACTATTCTGAGAGTCGAGCGTAGGCTATAATTTCTTGTTTTCCCGCCACTAATTGTGACGTCATCAGATATGCCAGGTCAGCAAAACCCACGAGGGCCCCGCCATTCTCGCAACTTCAATGATCGCGACACGAGTTCTGTACGCTCTGCTGCCAAAGCATCATGGACCGTCCGATTTTTCGGAGACGGTTGAATGACGGATACCAGGTCAGATTCTCTTTTTTATGATGATGGTTTGTCAAACCCAAGTTAAAGCCACGTCGGAGTCCAATCCAACGGATTTTCTTCTCCTACCGGCAGCGAAGAACAAATCTCGATCGTTTAGTGTCTCTGCGGGTCCCAAGTGAAAGAATTTGACCGGCTGGAGCGGTCAATTCGGACCCCGCCAAGTACCACGTGACTGATCTGCGCCTTTTGTGAACTGTACGTTCAACTTTTAATCTCTTACGGGCAACCGGCCACGCCGGCTTCCCTGTGGACTGTACGGGAAGGGGAAAGGTAGAAATTTGCTTTTGGAGGAGTGGACGAATAAATAGTCGACAAGTGTGCTTTCTGGAGCTGGATCCACCCCTTTTGGTGGATGATGTTCACATAGTTTCTCTCACGCGCCCGACAACGTGTGGGATAGGATTGATAGAGATTGTAGAAAGGTGCGCCCCGAAGATAAAAGAAGATATGTATAGCGCCTGACACGTGGCGAGTTAGTGGGCATTTGCTATATTCCATCAGAAAGCGACGTTTCTGCCATGTTGGCATCTGGAAATCATGACCGTCGATTCATCAACAGCGCAACGGTCGAGATCAACCCAGATGCTTGAAGGAGAAATCTGAGCCGTCAAGCTAGCTCTGGAGTAGGTTCCCCGTGAGTGAATGAACAACAAAAGAAATAAAAAGAAAGGGCCGAAGAGATAGAGATTTTGAGCACAAAAGTATCACAAAACAAAAAGCCAGGTAAAAGAGCAGAGAGGCAAACGGGGAGAAGAGAAAAGAGAAAGAGGAAAAACGGTGAACTTCCTCAGCAGCAAAATAATAATAATCATAATAAATTTCTACTTCGTTTCAAGCTAGTTTCTTCTTCTACTTTTTTTCTCTGTGTCGGTTCTTTCACCGTAAAGAAGTTCAAATCTGAAATTTCAACATTGTTTCGCCGCGAACTATGGTGAATTGCCAGCCAGCAGCCTATTCTCGCCGGAATATTGTATATTTTTGAGATTTAATCGAAAAGTATATTATGGAGAGAAACAGAGACGCAAGAAGATCGAACCTGGCTTCGTCAAATGGATTGCCTAGACGTCGTCAAAGAAGCAATAATCTCCGAGATTCACCTGGTTTGATACTTCTCCATATTTACCTTTATATAAGGTGTTTTATTAAATTATTTTCCCAATCATTTTTCCTTTTGTGTTCTGGTTTGCAGAAGCTGGAGAGATGGAGGTGCAAGAAACGGTGAGGCTAAGAGAGAGAGCGAGCAAGAGGGAAAGGGACCGAGATTTGTTGAATCGGAGCAAGCGTAGGAGAGCAGATAAGGTGGTTTTACAAGGGAGCAATAACAGAGAAGAAGGAGAAGAAAGCACGGAGGACAGTTCAGGTGAAGAAGAAGACTACGAAACCGAGCAGCTCAGTAACCGTAAAATCTCACCGTCAGCTAGAGTCTCCAGACAAGTACCCCCTTTGAAGTCCACAGATGAAATGATTAGTTTTCCAGTCCCGAGAAAAGCTCGCTCAGGTATCAAAATTGTTGTTTATAATTTTCTATTCATATATAAAAGATGGAGATAATTTTTGGGAGATTTATTGATTTTTGTTTTTTTTTTCAGCTTCAGTGAAGAGGTCACTTGAGAATTGGGTGGCTGGAAATGGTGTGTTTGTGGAGGAACAAAATCACGGGCGATCTTCGATTTCACCGGCCCGTCGGAGCGTTGAGTCAGACCGAGTTTCACCGTCTTCTTCAAATGGTTCATTTAGGAAGAAGATGGTCAGCTATTGAGGCTTTTTAGATTTTTTTTGTGTTTTAATGTTTGACGAAATTGAGAGGATTGAGGAGTTGCTGGGTTTTTTTTTTTGGATGTTGCAGAAGCCTAATGGACCTAAGACTCGGTTTCCAAAGGCGACCAAGTCTTCAAGCTCAGCCCAGGAGGATATCGAGATCGAAATCGCAGAGGTTTTATATGGTTTGATGAAGCAATCACAAAGCTCCAAGAAGGAAGATAGCGCTGGAAATCCTTTTCCAAAGCTTGAATCTGAAGATGCAAATGGTTTCTCTACCGAAACCAAGCCCTCAGGTTTATCTCAGATTGCGAGCTCTGCACAGAGTCAATCCCAGACAACGGTTTTGGCTGATCCATTGGTTGGCGTTGGTGGGTATTTTAAGCATTCAATTTTTCTGCTAGAAAGGTTTGCTTTTTTTTTTTTTGGGTTAAATTGTTTGTTTGTTTGTTTTTTTTTAATGTTGGCATTTGCAGCGTCAAAGAAGAAGAAAGTGGAATCTGAGAATTCTCCTACTCCGATGAAAGTTGAGAATGAGCAACGGGCAAAAATAGAAAATTTTTCGCCGAAACGGGTTCAAATATCAGTACTTAATGCGGTAATTTCTGAGTCTAGTTTTGATACGGGTAAAACTGCATCAGTGTTAATGGAGTCAGGGGAGAACGTGGTGATGATTAAGCAGGGAGATTCGAAACCATCGGATGAAGAAGAACCAAATTCCATAGATGGAGCTGTGACCAGGGAAAAGTCTGTTTCGACTGAAAAGGAATCTGCTAAATTGGATGTTGATTTTCAGGATTCGACAGTGACTAAAGCGTGAGCATCAAAGAATCTTGCTTTCTTTCTCTTTTTTTCTCCTTTGATTAATGCTTTCAATGTATCTGATTTTTTTTTTGTTTTAGTGTGGGATATCACAGAATATCGACCGTTTCAAAAGTGGAGAACCAACGTGAAGAGAAGTTCAAGATCGATTTGATGGTGAGGATCTCCTTCTGTCGAAAATTCAGATTAGATTTCTTCCGTTGGTATTTTGCTGTCCGAATTACTCAAGAAAAAGAGTAATGAGTAATGCCCCCCTTTCCAACAGGCTCCCCCTCCGATGGCGTCATCTCCGGAAAGGGATGGCCCTGTGGATATCGCATTGGATCCTAAGTACAAGGTTCTGGATATGGAGTTGGTAAGTGCCTTTTAGCTCTACTAATTTCTCCTTTCTTTTTTGTTCCTGGACTGAAATTTTTGATTTCTCATTTCGACGTAGAAGATAGAGACTGTGGTCAAGGATGAAGCTAAGGTTGTGAAGAAAGAAATGAGGGCAGAAGATAGTAAAGACAAGAAGATGGATACCATCGGGGAGAAACGAGATTCATTGAAACTTGATTTGGAGAAGCCTCATCAAGATAATGGTAGTGATTGTTGTAAATTTGAGCATGGTAAAAAACAACAGCTATCTAAACCTGGCATTCCTAAAGTGGAGAAAACCGGTAATTTTAATAAGTTTCAGCTTTGACTCACTGATGCTCAATGATATTTATATTAAAATCTTTTTTTGCTTGATTTGTGATATGATGAGTTTACGGATTGTTCTTCTTTTACTCAGCTCAATCTAGTTCAGTGCCTGTGCCAATCACCCTTACTGGCTGGCCAAATGGTTTGCCACCTCTGGGGTAAGCTATCAAATAGCTTCATTCTGGTTGTGCATTTTGTTTTTGTTATATATCCTTGCGGTTAATATTATTTTGTATCTAAGAAGTAGAAACCCTTTTTTTTTTGTGCCAGGTATATGCCTCCCTTCCAGACAATGCCGCCTACGGATGGGAGTACTAGATCATCTACGGCATTGCAGGTATGAGTACTGATTTCCTTATGATGGCAAAGGTTTCAGTTTATTACTCTCTGTTAATATTGATGGCTCTTGTTGATTGTGCCATATTTTCTGTGTCTTTGAATTAACCATGAGTTTCTATTGGAAATATGCAGCCTTCTCATTTCCTTCTTTCTCAACCTTGGCCTAAAAGATGTGCCATGCATCATTACATTGCTCGTAACATACACTTACACCAGCAGTTCGCAAAAATGAACCAGTTTTGGCCATCAGCTCCTGGTTCTGCTTCTCCATGTGGGGCCAAGCCCAACAATCTCAATGTGGTGCCATCTGCAGAAAATTTGATTTTTGGAAATCCTTTGCAAGGAAGTTTCCCAGTTGTGAATCTAAACTCTACAGAAGAGAAAGGTAAGGTTATGGCGAGCTTTCCTGGTCTTACCAGGAAAGATAAAAGCTCTGACTGCACCAATTTATTGGACACCGCACAGAGAAAGCAGGTCGTGCTTCAACTGGCTTCCCAACCAGCAGCTGCTGGTAACTTGATGGTATGGTACTGTTCTTTTTTTTTTTATAAATTTTATTTGGCCAATAGTTTGTTAATGCTTTTCAAGTAAATTTAGAAATTTTTAGCAAATCCTTTTGCTTTTCGGGCTTCATTAGTAGTTGGATCATTTTCTGTTAATTTGTTGAATATTCATTTTTCTAAGTCTTGGTTTTTTGTGTTATTACAGCATGGCCCTGCTTTCCTCTTTCCTTTAAGCCAACATCAAAGTGCGGCAAATCAATCTGGGCCTTCTAAATGTGCTACTTCCACTAACAAAGCATCATTGAGTAATAATTCAACACCCGGAATTTCCACTGGCTCTGCAGCATTACCAGGAGTAGCAGCAGCTGTGAGCTTTAATTACCCAAATTTGGGTGCTAATGAAGCTCCATATTTGACAATATTACAGAACAATGGTTACCCTTTGGCTGTCTCTGCTCCTGTTGGAAACCCGTCAGCAATTAGAGGAGGAACCCCAACTCAAGCGTTGCCTTTCTTTAATGGGTCTTTCTATTCTTCTCAGATGTTCCATCCTCAACTTCAACAGCAGCAAGCTCACTCTCAGCCTGTGGTTCAGCCGCCTTATCAGAATGCAGTCACATCAAGTGGCTCATCAACATCCCACAAGCAACCAGAAAGTAACCAGCCACGGGGTGGACAAATTAGTGGCAATAATTTTTTGAGCTCAACAAGCATGCAGTCGCAGCAGTTGCAGAAGTATCACATGCTCACATCCAATCAATCTCGCAAATTGGATCCTGAGATGAATGGGGAGAATACAACCTCAGACACCCAGAAAAGTGTTTATGGCCAAAAGCCACCACTTCCTAATCAGCCACTCAACTATGCCTTGGTACCTTCTGCAACGGTGGGTGGTGGCAGTGTAAATGGAAATCACAGTGAGAAGCAGCTTTCACAACAGAAGAATTTGAAGGGTGGAGTTGATCTCGTCCCTCCACAAGCATTTGCCGTGTCATTTGCTTCTTTCACTGGAAACAACATACCTTCAAACCTTAACTTCTCATCTATGGCACAAAACCCCACAATTTTTCATAGCCTACCTGAGATGGCTCGGCAAGGGTACCAGGTTGCACCTGTGCCGCAAGCTGCACAGCAGAAGAATCACCAAATATCTGACGGGAAGAATGGAGGTGGTTCAACCAATCTGGATGATGGAAAAAAGGTAAGTTTGGGGAAGTCACATACAACAAACGGGCAGACATATGTTTTTGACAATCCAGCTAGATCTTTGAACTTTGCGTCATCTCCTGTCGCTGCAAATTGGCCTCCTCGCTCCATCACCTCCACTACAGTAACCACAAATCCTCCCATTGCTGCTAATTCATCAAATTCCCAACAACAGCTGCTTCTACTTCAGAAGCAGCACATGGTGCAGCAACATCAGCAGCAACCTGTTGCAGCTTCTCGAAGCAAAAGTCAGACAGCCAACACCATGCCTGCAGCTTTCGTTGCTGCTAAATTTTCTAGCAATGCTGCTATATTTCCACAAACTGCGCCCCAAAGTAACAGTTCTGCACAATCAACCCAGTGGAAAAACTCAGCAAGGACCTCGGCTGCCCAGGTGGCTTGTACATCAGTTGCAGCTACCAACGCCTCAGCCGTTAAAAATCTTCCCCAGCAACCATCGAGGCTTCCACAAGGCCAAACCCAGATATCGTTTGGGGTAAATACCAAGTCCAGCTTATCGCCACAAGTACAAGAAATACCTATCAGTAGCCAGTCAGCATCGCCTATGATAGTTGGGTCTCCACCTAGTAGTGGCAACTTGAGAACAAGTTCAACAGGCAGCAAAGTTGGTTCATCAGTTCCCACAATACAATCACAACAGAGCGAGAATTCTTCTCCTGGTAACGGCCAGAAATCCTCTCCGGTGTGTGGAAGGAACGTGCCTTCAATTTTGAGCACATGCCCCAGCCACCTTTCCGAACTCAAGTATTGAAACGTAGCTGCAATTAGAATATTGCAACAGCAGCCTGCCTTCTTCTCAGGCCTTGTTCTCGAGTATTGAAATGGGAAAGGCGCAGGACACGTTAGAAAGATTTTGCGGGAACCCAGTTTTCACGTTAAGTGAAAGGCACGTGGGTTCTTGAGCCTTGGGGAACTAAGGATTTTGATTATGTCTGGCAGATGCACCGGAGGTGTAAAGAAAAGGAGCTTGAGAATTGAATGTGAAACGCAGTTAGGCCGGAAGATAAGTTTTAAGTGCAATCCCGAGACTTCTTCCGACTAGCCAGCTCCGTACCGGTACTATGATCAAAGTGGACGTGATGCCAAGCGGTTGCGGGTAGCAAGCATCCCAGTCACAATGACTTGGGCATCTGTTTTGTGTGAGTTGGCAGGGGATTGGGGTCAAGGGTGCAGGATAATGTTTAAAAGGAGGTTGGGCTGTGTCAGGTCTTACAGTTTTGAAGTCGGACCAAATTCGGGACCTACCATAACCATATTCTGGGGACTATTGTTTGTTGCCGTATTTAAGGCTACTAGGTGTTTGATTGTTCTAAAGCTGATGCTAACGTGTAAATAGGATAGTCATTTGCAAAGAATACAATGTTCCTAGTTTCATTATTTTATTTGAGATTATTCCTCACCCATTTGGGTATCTGCCCTTTTCTTATTGCCTTCCATCTTGTTATTGATTGCGGTGGTGGGGGTCCATAAGAGAGAGAGAGACAGAGGGAGAGAGATATTTCAAGTTTGAAAAGAGAGGCATGAAAAATCTTAAGAAAAAGAATAGGTGAAAACGGTGGACCTGGAAGCAACTCCATCTTATTGGCCATTTGGCTTTTTTGGTGTTCTTTTGTTCCTCCTTTACCTTCCCTCCCACCTTTTGCGTTGTGTGCGGTGCACTAGCAAATCTGTTGGATTCAAACTCATCTTAGCCTTTGACCCAACAAAGTCATGGTTTGACGCCAGCTAACTTAAATCTGTCTAAATTCAAATCATATGTATATTATTTCACTGTTGCGCCTGCCAAAATACCACGTTTCACTCCTTACATTATCTTATTCTTTGCTAAAGGATAGGCAAAGGTGGTGGCCGGGGAATGAGGTTTCCACCCTTTCTTCTTTTCAGTGGAGGCATGGAGGGTATCTAATCCAATCTTAATCTCTCTCTATCTAGCACAGTGTTTGCCCTTTCTGGGCGTCGTTAAGTTAAAAAGTTAAAAACTGTTCAATTTCATTTATCGCTATCTACATCAGACATGCTTGTACACTATAATTTCACAAAAGAAAAAAAGTATTCATTCCTGTAGACAAAAAATTGATGATCATAGCATTTCCATAGACTTTTTAGACATTCTATGTCACCTGTTAGCGGAATTTTGTTTCACAAAGGAAATGGCGCTAGGCCCCTAAACACACCAAAACAACAACAAAAGAAACACTGACAAAATCAGTCCGCTTGAAGGAAGCCTTTGAATGTGAAGTTCATTCCTCATCATCCTGTGTCTGAGTATCAGCTCATGGTCCGTGGTGTCAAAGCTCCCAAAATTCTGCTTCTTGTGCACTCCTCTATCATAATCATGTCAACGCAAGTAAGTGCTATAACTTTTCTGAGGGTGGTTTGGGCCTGAGGGATAAGATACTGCCAGACGTTTCAGTCTCTAACAACAAACTTAGAAGAATCATTTCATGCAGATAAAAGGCATAAAGAAACCAGTTCCATGAAATACAATATGGTGGAAGAAAATGAAAGGGGGGAAAAAGAAAGGTTCTGAGTGCCTTTTGATGATTCCTCATCTACTTCTGTACGAAAGATGCTGCATTGACCTCAACATCTTCTTTGGCTCGTCTATCAAATGGATCCTCACCAATGTACAAGTCCAAAATTGATCTACAAAGGAGTTTGCTCTGTATACTTCCTACCTCTTTACCATCAACTACAAAATTTAGAAAAGAAAAGAATTAGAGACTTACATTTAATGCAGTGTAAAATCATATAGAAATGAGACAAGCATAAAATAATGGTTTTTATTCATGCAGTAAAACTAACCTTGGAGAACAAGAAATTTATATGCAGAAGCAAAAACAGCCTTTTAAACAGTTAAGTATTAATCAAAGGTCTCATATTATACCACATGCTCCCCATTTGAAATATATGTCTAGCATTATGTAGATCAAGATACAGTTATGTAAGAGAAAATAGAAGGAATAAAGGACACTTGTTGCACTAATAGATGGAAAATCCACACAGAATGAAAGAAAATGAACAGAAAATCTTAGAAAAGGCTTCTTACTTCTAATTTATTGGTAAATAGACGATATATATCTTACTTGTTGTCTTAAGTATATGGCCTCGTTCCCTTATGAGATCTATCACAGATCCCCTTGGTATTTTATATTCATCTTTGAATTGAGAAGTGAACCTGCAACCAAGTTCAACATGACATAAACTAACATTAAGAAAATGTTAAACAGAAAATAGAAGCAGGAAAGTTTGGGGCCATAGAAGTTTAGAAACAGATAGAAGAGGAAAAATTGAAGAAAAGAGATGCCAGTGCAATGCTGGCAAAAATTAGAAGCAAGTCAGAGGCTCAGGGTAGTCAACTTCAGCGAATTTAACAACTTAGCATATTGCAAATCATATTCTTAACAGCAATCTCCAGAAGAGCCAAAAGCAACACCAAAAACATCAGAAAATGATGACTAATTTGTAACCTCAAGAGGTATGAAGCTGCTAATTTAAACACGTGAATTTCTGCTTATCAATTGAAATTTATGAACTACAAGGTAGAAGTTGACAATTAAAACTATGGGTAGAAGTTAACAATTAAAACTATAGTTCACCTTTGAAGCAATTCTTTATTATCTGATCCCCCGAACTTTTGGAGTCTGCTTCCAACTGACTCTTCAAATGCACTACGCACAGAACGGATGCTCAATTTACTGTAGACAATTTGAAGTCTAACAGTCATGCATATATCAGCTTCCATAAGATCATTATTAAAATCCTTATTGTCTTTAAGTTCAGTAGCAGATAAATTTCCATATTTCTCACTCAACAACGTCTTTAAATCATCCCCATTAGCATACACACCTGCAAGAGAACCAAGTTATTAGCATAAAGAAATTGCAAACGACATTTTTGCCCCTTAAAATAATTGATTCAATAGCTCAATTTACATTTTACATCGATGATCATAGCTCAATCTATATCCACATTGTAGCCCATAATTCAATACTTTTGCCAATTGACGTCATTCACTTATGCAATATTATTACCAAAAGTATCCTTTAAATTCTAGAAATTCTGGCATGAAAGCCTCGAATTCAAAAGCAAAACGAAAACTGAAACCTTGCACGTCATGCAGAATTCCAGATAATAGAAACATAAACAAAGTTTCCAAAGACAGGAACAAAACATGTTCCTAGTACAAGATGTCTAAGTGGGTCCATTGTACATTAACAGAAATGAAGAATCACATAGAAACAGAACAAGAAGAAGAAAATTTCAAAGAAGAAGAAAAGAAATAAAGTTACCAAATGCATAGACATCGATGTTCTTCAAACCCAGGATGCTCTTTTTCCTCAAACCAATTCCAAGAAGTTCAAGGGAATTTCCCAGAACCGAAGGGAACGAAACTCCAGTCTTTGATTCGACGACTGGAGCTGAGCCATCAGCAAGAGAGAGCGAGCCCCAAGGAGGAGAAGAGTGATCCCGAAAGAGAAAATTCACTGCGTTTTGGAGAAACGGGTGATTCGGATTCTGCGAGACGACTGCCACGCCCGCCGCAGCCGCAGCTCCTACGCCTGTTGCTGCGGCCAATGTGGCGGAGAAATGACGCGAGGAGGTATTCCGGTGATGGTTCTGAGGGGTGCCGGGTAGGCTAGTCGGCTGAGAAAACAAGAACGGGAACCGCAGGGACACCATCTTTTAGCTACTTTCTTTTTTTGTTAATTATCGAAAATGGGTTAGTTATGCGTCACCTTATGATGTGGACGTATATGTTCGTGAACAAAGCGGAGGGGTTTTTAGGCCTTCGACTAAACCAGTTGCCCAAAAGGCGTGGCCCAAACTAAAACCTCTAAATCCATAGTCCATAGAACAATGGTCGCCTTCATCCTTAGATTTTGGGCTTTGTTGATTGGATTCCTCCCTTTGGGCAAAGCCAAAGGCCAACTGGTCGAGGTTTAAGAGACTTGGGCTCCGCCTTCCTACGAGCTTCTTTCTCAGTACCATACATAATCCGCATTTAAACAAGCAAACTGAAAGCAAAGCGGATTCAAACCTAAGCATCACGTCAAGAGCTCAGCTAATTTGAAGCAATGTAGTTTAAGCTTTAAAGTAACTCTCAATAAATTAATGTATTAGAGTTAAAACAAGGCGCTTCTAATGCCTGATTTAAGACAATCATTCAGCGGCTTGTCGTTTCCAAGAAATGCTATTGCTACCTTCTAAATTTTACCAAACCCATCACTGCCAAACAGGAAAACAACAATTATTTCCCACATTTTTTAACTAGATACAATAGGATCAGTTCGATATGGAAATTAGTGCTATTTAAATAATAATGCTGAATTTACTCAGGCACAAAATTTGTAATGAATCATTATTGTCCCGCAAGAGACAAAGAAGAAGCAGGGATTTAGATTCGGAAAATACAGGCAATGATTAGCCTGCCATGCTCCATGAAGCGTGCTACGAAAAAGATCAGAATTGCTAGGAAAGCTTGACTGATCAACTTACATGCAAAATTGATTTTTTTTCCCTTGTTCTTCATATTCTATTTTGTTTATCTTGTATGTTTTTCATCTATTGAGAGGATTCTTATGATAAGAAATGGCAGTGTTATAAGTAAATAAAAAGATATATCGGAGATGATAGATGGGAAGATTAAAACAATTTATGGAGTACAGTGTTATGGTGAAAGGTAGAAAATAGTTGAGAATGTGATAAAAAATGATTAAATATAAAAATATTTGAGAGATAATATTTAGAGGGAGAGAGTTAAGAGTGAAAGTGTATATGTTTTAAGAGTAAAAATGTATAAAAGAGAAACACTTATATTTCACGAAAGAGGAAGATATTTTAACTATCTATATCTGAATCATCAAATCAAACTTTTCAAAATATTTTAAAGTGAAACTACTTTATGAATCTTTTCATTTATTTTGAATAATTTTCGTTGTTGTTTACGATATATAAATGTTCCATTCTTTTTGCTTATTCTTATTGTTTTATGTATAGCAAGAGAGGGTAGGGGATTAGTACGGCCCTTAACAATTTTAAAATTTTTATAACAATCCTTTATTTTTTGAAATTTTATAATTTTGTTTATATAATAATTTTATAACATACTCTTGTTATTTTAAAATCTTATAATTTTACCCCTACAATAATTTTAAAATTTTGCTCCGTATTTTATAATTTATATAATATATTAATATCTTATTTGAATTTGTGTTTATCTTGCATATAACAAATAATCTCTCAAAAGCTTTAGAACTTAAGTATCAAGACATTCTAAATACAATTCATTTAATATCATTTACTAAAAAGTGTTTTCAACAATTGAGAAAAGATCAATGGAAATCTTTATTTGTGTCAATGAAGAAGTTTTGTTAGAAATATGAAATTGAGATATAAATTAGGTAGGTCATCTTCAAAA